CTCAATGCTTTATAGTTCTCGATTCTAATTCTTTGGGGTGAGAGCAGCTGCATGGGGGCAAGACTGTGTCAGCTTTTACTCACCATTACACCTCTGGGTGCTAGCAGATAGCTGCCACATAGTAGGTGTTCACTAAATATGAACTGATGAATAGCCAGCCTTCACAAATGAGGAGGAACCTCTAATACATGGAAATGAGCTAGAATCAGGGCTCAACCCAAAGCCAAACTGTGAACCACAAACAATGTTGTTTTGTGTTTCAGTTGTGGAACAGACAGGCTTGCAGGAAACTAGACTAGCTGGTCATTGCACAGATAGAAATGCTCTTTATGCACTGCTGTCCTCAGACTTCGGGGCTCCTAATTATGGCCAGATTCTTCTTTCTGTCTCTTTCTTTTAAATATCTTACTATACGGAAAGCCTTCACCTAGCTGCATCAGAGTGTCAAAAATTAGTAGGTTGAAAATACACATTTTTGAACTAACATTAGAACCAAGTCTTAGAATGTCATCAGGTTTCTCTTTTTCCTCCAAGACATGGGGTAGAGGTAAATCTGGTATTTGAAATGTATTTTGGTTTAGATCTATGACATTTCTGTGTTGACAGTAGTGAGAATATTGGACTAGCATTCTGCCTGTTCCTTGCCACAGACCATGTCATTGGTAAAGTCTACAATAATGGGGTTACCAGATGGACTCAGCATTTTACCGTTCATGACAAAATAATTGAAAATAAAGCTACCATACCATGCCTGTGGATGGTCCAAGTATGAATCAAGGACATTTGACAGAGAAAAAAACTTAGTGCCATTTTAGTTTGTGCATTTCTCAAATAAAACTTCTAGAATTATGCATACAAATATTAAAAATGCATTAAATTATGAACACTGAAAATAAACCAATTCAGTATTTGGCTTCTTATATATATTTTGACTAATTGTATATTGTATAGTAGAGAACTGTGAGCTGAAAGGAACTTTGCACACTCTCCACACACACTGTATAGGAGACATTGCAGGTGCAGACAGGGCTTTGGAAGCAGGGCTGGAGCCAGGTCTTGGGACATGTAGGAAATGCTCTTCCCTCCACAGCATGGTGTCCATAGGGCTAACATATTCAGACCTAGTGATGCACATTGCATTCTGCTGCCTTATGATAAGGCAGCCTCAAATCTGCCAGCTGTCTAGGAAATGCAAGGCTAAGGGTCTCAGAAAAATACAAATTATGCATAAAGCATAAAGAAATACAGTTTGTATACCCTGTGGAGCATAAATATGTTTATCTTAATTGGTTGGAAATTTTTCCTTTGTAATGGATAAGTAGACTCTTGTTTGATTTACAAGTAATTATGAAAATGATGACTATTATTAGATGACTAGTAAAGTCAGCTTTGTTATAGGGCACATGTAGAAGAGCCTGCATATTTGTAAGAAAAAAAAATCAATATAACTATAACCATGCCTTTAGTTCTAAGTCTGCTAGAATAGTGATGTGTTTACCAGTTTGGAGCAGCATGTCCTGACCTTTGTTAACTTTGCAGCATAAACAGAATAAGTCTTTCTTCAAATAAAAGCAATTTCCTGAATTTGCTCACATTACAAGTTGGCCTAATTTTAAGACTGAATTGACTGATTCTTTACTGAGTAGACTTGTGTATATGGTCAAGTTTCTTTGAATTCTACTATAAAAATGGAAATTTCAAAAAAAAAAGCTTAACATGTCCCCACTTGCACACATTTTTCTTTTGAATATGGGTATATAAATGTATAGATATGTGAATAATTCCTTCAGAGTGCTAGATAATGGGTAGAATTAATAGCTATTGAGCAAATACCATGTTCTAGGAACTTTGCAAAGTATTGCCCTATTTCATCCTCATAACAATCCTATGAAGTAAATACTGACAGATAAACAAACAAAGGCTCAGGGAAGTTAAGTGATTTGTCCAAGATTACAAAGCTAGTAAAAGTCAAAGACTAATTTTGAACCCAGGTATTAAATAGGTGCTCAGTAAACTGTAAACATTGTAATTAGTATTGAGAAGTTTCTTGAAGTTGTCACTCTCTTCATCAGGAATTTTTGCAAGGGAAAATGAATCTGAATCTCCTTGAGTGTCTGTGTAGAGTTGGAATAGCATTTTCAGCATAAATATTAATTTTATAAGACAGAGCACAGGTTCCACTTTGGCTAGTGAACATTTGCAGAAGATAACAGTGAGCAAAGATTATAGGGACTACGGATTAAGAAGGGCTGAGTAATGTTGAATTGGACTTTTGCAAATAAGCCTGTACACCAGCAAGTGTGAAGAATAAATATGGACTTAGCTTCTGAAGTCAATGTCTCTCTGAGAAAGTTTCCTGAGAAGGTGACTGCCTACCACTGTGACTTCATAGATGGGGAGGAAAAGGAGAAGGGGACCCTTATCCACCACTCTCCATAAATTACCCTTTATGCTATTTGCAGTTTGTAGAAAATGAATGTCAAACTAATGTCTGGATACCCAACATGTTTAACATGGTGCCAACAGCAAATGCAGTGGAAACCCACCTCTCAGCACCAAGGGCTTCTGGAGCAGAAGAGCAGGAACCCAGGGCCAAAGCTCTCTCTCCTTCTAGAGGCACGTACGGCACATGCGTCTCCCTACCACCAGCACCCAGATGAGGCTAGGAAGAGACTAATCCCAGCCTGAGATGTGCTGCAGGAAATTCATACCTTGAGATGGAAAGGAAGGGGGGAAGGAGACATGTCACAGTGATCATCATTAGTCATTCCTAAATAGCCGCAGCAACCTCCGCACACATGCACCCAGTCACCAGCATTGTCTAAGTTCTAAAGAAGAAACTACCCAATACAATAGTGTAAGAAACATGTGGAAGGGTGGCTGGGGACTTTTTCTCTGGATTTCTCTTGTTCAGAAATCACTATTTATGCCCAAAAATGTCTGGAAAGAGAAATCCCAAAATGTTGACAGTCATGATCTGTAGAGAGTAGGATTATGTGTGCTGTTTCTGTCTTTTATTTTTCTAAACTTTATAAATTTTCTATGGCAAATGTTATAAAAATATTTATACTAGCTATGTATGATTTTCACACAGATCTAAAGGGCATGACACTTTTATGTAGTCTTAAGAGAAAACATTCATACATAAAATTGCCCACACACAGTCTAATCTCAACCCTGTAAACAAGACAGATCACCTAAAGATTACTAGGAGGTAAGGTTAGGGTGATTTTAGTGGGTTTTTTGTTTTGCTTTTAGAAAATTGTTCTTCACTTTTCTATATTTTCCAGGTTGCCTGTGTATCCTCAATGTTTCTAGGCTTCATTAAATTTAGGTTGACAATGAAGTCACATTAGCTTGTCAACCTCCCACTCATGTAAACCCAGGACCTTATTCAGTTTTCAAGGTTCTCCCTTTCCACATTCTGAAAATGTTTCTGGAAAATCCCCAAAAGTCATCAAGAGGCAGTAGCCAGCAGTTGGTACTGGCCTGGGCTATTCCCTGCTGCTGTATCCTTTTCACTCCCCTCCCCTCCAAGCTCCACTTCAGTTCACAAGTGACGGCCAGCTCCCACTACTACCTGGTCCCAGACAAGTTTTCCTGCCTTTTCCTGCCCATGGCTCCAGCCTCCCATCTCCTAAACCTTTCAAGTTGAGACAGCTTCCAGCTGCTGTGAAGGCAAACAGCTCCCTCTCTTCGGTTATGTACTTCTTTTTGTTCCAACAAGTTAGAGGAATTTGTTGAACTATTTGTAGAATTTTGTTCAAACCAATGAGAGGCCAGGGCACACCCATACTGACTAGCAGGGGGCCATGTTCAATAAACTAACTTGCTCTTCCTGGAACCACCCTCAGGCTGTGCAGCTGAGTTTAGCTCTTCTGCTCTGATCCTCCCCTCAGGTTGCTAGGTAGCCATGGTCTCATGTATCTATACTGTATGTGACTGATCTCTTTCCTTGGAAAGGATTTTCCACATAAATTGAGAAGCAAATCGATGTCTACAGTAGAAGAACATCCAATTCTATTGTCAGTCATATCTCAATTCAGGTGCCCCAGCTGTTAGCCCCTCTACATCTGCTAGAAGAATGTTCTACTCTTGTAATTTAAAAAGGAAGAAAGAAAATGAACATTTATTTAAAAGTGAAAGAATGTTCTATGTCAGAGTATGTGAAAGGAATTAATTAACTCAGGATGGTACTTTTGTACTCCAGGGACCTTGATCAAATGTCCAAGGGACACATGGCTGAGTACTGAACCATGTGACTCTGGCTGAGAGCTCTCATAAGCAGTTAGGTTATTTTGATTTGGAATGAGATTGTCTTCTTATAGGAGGGGACAGGGCATCATTAAGTTTTACCCTTGTTTCAAGTTTTGGAATCCCCTAAGGTCAAATAACAAATCTGTTATTTGGCCAGTTTCCCATTTATTTCCCCAGAGAAGGGCAATTCAGCAGATTTGTACTGGGAAGTAACATATATCCTCACTAACAATAATTAAAAACAAACACAGGAAAAAGAATCCTGACCTTGCCCCTCCTGTTTTTTCTTTGTAAGATTATCTCATTAGCCTGAAGTATTCAGGATGGTTTGGACTGCATGTGTGTGTGTATATGTGTGTGTGTGTGTGTGTGTGTGTGTGTGTGTGTGTGAACATCCAGCAAGGACTTTGTTGACCATGATCTGGCCGTTGTAAATGTTTATTCTCAATCAGGAGGGAGGGAACCTTCAAATGCTGTTTAAATCCCCTTCTGGTAAATCCCTAGCTTATATGGACACTTAATGAGGCAAAGTTCAAGTTGCTAGTGGCAGTGTGGTCCAAATTTTGCCATCCGAAGTCGAAATCACAACAATTAACTAGTTGACTCAGACAGCCAAAGCTCTCAGATCAAGAAACAAAGCATTACCTGCATTCTGATGGGCTTGGTTAATTTTTAATTTGGAATCCTGGATTTTGAACAGACTTCACTGCCTACTTTGTACATAGGTGGATTTCTAGGTTTAGAATGGGATCCACACTGTGTCAGAACTGGAAGGGACCTCAAAGATCACCACAGCGAACCAGCTCAAAACTCAAATGAAGAGCAGACACAGAAGGGAAGAAGCGATCTGTTTAGGGGCACAGTTATTTAATGGCAGTGTCTGCAAAGGGCACTGTGACCCAGGATCCCTGGACCATAATTATATCCTTTCCACCATATCCAACTGCTTATGTTCACCCAAAGGACAAAGGTTAGCATGCTTATTTTTATTTCAAGCCATGAGCTTACACAAGATGCCAAGACTTTTCTGAATCTGTCACCAGTTTCTGTCGTTTTAACTTCTAAATGAGCAAAAATAAAGAGCTTTTGAGCATAATATTGTGTTATGTTCCATCTCAACCCAGATGCAGGACAAGTACACCAAAAGTGGCATTGCTTGTTTCTTAAAGGAAGATGATATTTCTTGGGATCCCGCCGATGAAGAGAGTATGAACAGCCCCTGCTGGCAAATGAAGTGGCAAGTACATCAGTTTGTCAGAAAGGTAGGTAGACCCCTGGGTAACTTCACCAGCAGGCATAGAATGGTGGGGAAGAAGGACTATTCAAGGTCATCATCAAGTCTAGACTCCTCATTTTGCAAAGGAGGAAATTAAAGCCGAGAGTGTTTCAGTGATTTTCTTCAAATTCATACAACTAGGAAAAGGTGAAATAGTACCAAACAGAGGGTCCTGGCTGACCCCTGGTCTAGAGCTCATTCCTTTACTTCAGACAGCCTTCCTATCTAATCTAACCTTTTTATCTTAAGTGGTGGAAACTGAGTCACAGACAAGGAAATGTGCCCAAGGTCACAAAAAATAAGTCATGTGTGTGAGTTTTTTTTTATTCAGAGGACAAAAGAGACCAAGTAATGGTGTTTTATATTCTTCCCTCATTGTTGATTTCCAGAATTAAATATATATTTATGTTTATACACATGTAGAGATGAAGAAAGAGGAAAGCAAGAGGGGAGAGACACTTTGAGCAAGGTGATGACATCTCAATTTACTGTTAGTAAATGAAATATTGCAAAATACTATGGAAATATTTATGGAAATTGCTTAAATAAGATCTCTACAAGAAACATTGTGTTAGCTGTTTATTTCACTAAATGTGATTACATAATTTTACTTTCAGCAATGTGACTTGTCAAATCAAGTTCTTCTCTCAGGCTTCTTCTTTTGCATTTAATAGCATTTACTTTCTGCCTACCCAGAAAGGTCAGATGAAAACACTGATACGGCAATAGTATGTAAACTATGAAGCACCATCATTTGTTTAAAAATAACAGGGGACATTCCCTTCAGGATAGAAGGAGGATGTGTCCTTTAAGTCCATTATCTTAAGACCATTGTTTGCTGCTCAATCTGCCTTTGCATAGAAACATTGTTAATGTTGGTGATTAGGCCTCTGATTTATAACACAAAGCAGTTCTCACAATAGTGCACAGACCTTACCCATGATGCTATTTCCATGAGAAATGAAATCATACTTCCCCCTGGGAGTCCTAGGAACATGTGTGCTCCATGACCACCTGGAAGCGTGGCCTGGGCAGGACACCCACAGCACACGAGCTGCACAGAAGCATCTGTGGCTCCATCATCCCAAATGACGAGGCAGG